GGGTGACAGCCGTGCGGGGGCTGCCGGGGGGCTGCTGCTCCCCAACAGGGTCGGGCAGGAGGAGCCCACACCCGTCGGGATGGTCACCCCCCACCCAGGTGAGAGGGACTGGGGGGGCTGCCAGCTCTGCAGGACCCCCAGAGCCGCCCTACACGGAGCTTGCCAGGCCTGGCAAGGTGACCGAGTGTTGGGCCACTGGTGGCCGCCACCTCCATCAGCTTTGCTTGCAGATCAGCTGAGCGGGGAGCCAGCTCACAGGAACCCAGAGGGGAAGAGGAGACACGCTTGAGCATCTCCACAAGGGATGATGCACACAAGCAACGGAGGACTGCAAAACTGCCACCAGCAGTCCTCTCAGCTGGTTTGGTGACAAAGGCACCTTTGCTCAGGTGTTTGGTGCCTGAAATTTTGTATTTCTCCATTCAGCACAGGGTATGAAAAAGAAAAAAAAGAAGAAAATCAAGAATAAAATCAAGTCACGGGAAGCTTCTCTGGAGCAGCGGCGTGAGGAGGTCTCAAGCACCTTCGGTTGGTGTTTCTCAGGATGGGTTTTGCTGAAAGCACCAGGGCTGTGGCAGTGGGCTGGGAGCTGTGGGGGGACACCTGGCCATGGGGTGCTTGGTGTGGGGACAGGCACGGGAAAGGTGGGGGCTGCTGTGGAGGCAGATGCTGCTGTCTGTGCTGGTGGGATGCAGGGGGGCCACACGAGTGCCCTGGGCCGGAGCCTGGGCTGTCCTGCAGCCCGCACTCAGCACAGGATGCCGGGTGGAGCCGGTCCCGGTGCCCGACTGCTCCCCTCGTTCCCAGATCTGTACCGGCGGGCCATGCTGGCTCTGAGGATGAGGCAGGAGCAGAGGAAGCAGCCGTCGGCCATCGCTCCCTGAGGCACAGGGCTCGGTGGCAGCGGGACCCTGCTGGGGCGCTTGGCCGGGGAGCTCCTGGGCCATAAACAGCATCACTGTCCTCTGCAAGGCTTGAAAACCAGGGATCCGCAGGGGCGAGCCGAAAGTCCCTTTGTCAGGGCTCCTCTGGCAGTGGGGCTGCAAATCCGGCTGAAAAGGGAAGGGCTGGCCCTTGCTGCCCCCTGCTCGCGTCCCGCGGAACGCTCCGCCGAAACCCCCATCAGCCTGCGGAGGATCCGAGCAGCATCGCAGGGGGAAATCTTGGCTCTTGAAGTGCCCTGTGCCCTGGGAAAGCTGTCTTTGCAGGCCAGGGGCTGAGCCGGGCCGGCAGTCTCTCCTAGGAGCAGTCTCGTTGCTGGAGGTGGGAGGGCAGTCCCGGGTGATGTGATGTGCAGAGCAGCTCAGCCCAGCCCTGGGCCACATCTGGCAGGGCTGCCAGGACCCTCTCCGCACACGGGAGGAAGGCGATGCCCGTGCCTCCTGCAGCCCCTCAGTGAAAATTTAAGTTCAATGGCAGGCGGTGGCAGAGGTTCCCTGCCCGGACTCGTTCCTCCTGATCCCACCATCAATTCCAGAGGGACAGTGCCACTGGCAGCCTGGCACTGCTGCCCCAGTGGTCCCTGATGCAGGGCTGAACGGGGAAAAGAAAAGAAACTGGCTACTCTTGCTGGCCTGCCAGAAAGTTCTGTCTAACTCTGCTGTATTCAGTGGTTGGTGACTACAAGGATTATTTGTAAATCAATTGTAAATAACAACAGCAGGAGTTGTAAATACAGAGCTTTCAGTAACCCCCTGTCTCAGTCTGGTGGGGGTCCCTGTGGTGGGGGTGCTGTGGGGTAGAGGGTGAAGTGGGCACCACAAATGAGATGGTGGTGAGTGGTTCCCTCCCATGAATTTTGGGTTTGTTGGAAAGCGCTGGAGCTCCAAATGCACTGAGAAGCAGGAAGCAGTGCCTCAGCAACTGCTCTGGAGAGACACATTTCCCATCTCTTGTGCATAGTATCAACAGCATTTTCTACAGGAGCCAGCTGGTGACACAACCCTGCTTTGCATTTCAGCACTTGGATGCTATCTAGCACATCCCTCTGTTCCAGTTCCCAGAGAAGCTGACTCAGGAGCATCAGGGCAGGCAAAGTGTCGTGCCTGGTGCCACCAGCACTGTGGTGGTGCCTCAGCCAGGCTGTGGCTGCATTCTTGTGCTGTGTGTGTGCTGCAGTTCTGCAGCTCTTGATGCTGCCCACCCAGAGACCTCATCTGCCAGCAGGGCCACCAGCAGCTGTCTCCAGCTGGGTCCTTCTGAGCTTTAAGGACGGAGGGAGGTGGAAGGAGGGAGTCTCCCCTTGGCTTGCCAAAGTTGATGACTGTTTGGTGCTGCCAGGAGGAGATGAAGAGATGTTTCTGCAAGTGCCTGTGGGAATACACCTCCCACCTCCTCATACCGACGTCACTTTGCACACCTGGATTGTTTCCTGATGCCTGTTATCACGATCAAAATTTAAATGTGTGGGCTGGAAGCTGAAGAGTGAGACTACTGCTCTTTTGTGAAGAGCACTGCTTGGTCAGTGTTAAAAACACGGCCAAGTCCTCCTGTGCACAGGAACCCAGCAGCCTTTCCAGCAGCAGGAAGCCCTGGAGGAGAGCCTGGAAGATGGGTCCGTGTGCTGAGGCTGTCAGCTCCACCCATGGCCCTGCGGTGCTTTCTCCAGTGTCACTGAATTTCGGTTTCTGCACACTGGCTGGGCTTAGCCAGCAACTACACCTGATGTCATAGCCCCTCCTGGCTCCAGTCTGCCCCAGAAATGGGTGGGGAGGGTGATGCTGGCTCTGAAATCTCCTCTGAGAACCCTTGATTTGCCCCACACATGGGCAGGGCAGGAGGGTCCCCACACCAAGCTGCTGCTGTACATCCACTGTTCTGTTTTATTGAGAAAAACTAAACTGGGTGGTTCTCCCATGTACCTTGGTGCTTCCAGGGGAGTGGGAACCCTTGTGGATTTCATAATAATTTCCAGGATTTTGATGGAGGATCAGCCTTCTGAGCACCTGCAGTGGGGATGCCCCGTGCTCCGAGGGGCAGACAGGGAAGGTCCCAGATCGGTCCTGGGGGGCTCCACAGCAGCTGTGGGGTGGCAAAACCCATCAGCAACCAGGTCTGACAAAGGAAAATAACTTAAATAAGAGACAGAGATTTGTGATGGGTGAAAAACATGGCAGTTCTTTGTTCTTCACTAAACCAAATTTATAGAAGGAGCCAGCAAGAGCTTTTTGAGAGCATTTCAAACATTGGAATTCGAACACTGATTTAGGGCAGTAAAGGGAATTAACTGCAAGTGATTCAGGTGAATGGGTGTTTCACAAGGCAAATGGAATGGATCACATCCTGTGGGGTGCCTGCAGGTAACTCTCATTCCCCACCAAGCCATCTGTGAATCCCATCACCTGTCCTGGGGCACATGAACAGCCAGAGCGTGGGCAGGGGGTCCCTGGAGTCCAGAGCCTGGGGTTTGGCTGGTGAGGGGCTTTCACATGGAGCTGCCCCTTCCTGCTTCCTGACAAAGGTACAAAAACGAATTCAAAGACGTCTCTTACCTCTCCACAGCAGTGCCTGTGGGGGAAAGGTGAGCAGCCCCTGCTCCTTGGGAGGCACTGCTAAGGTGTGGGGCTCTTTCCCACGTTACACTCTTGTCTAAAAGCTGCTTATAGAATGTACAGACTTAAATCAACACGCATAAAAAAGGCTTTTAAACCTTGGAATGGGTGTTAGGGTTGATAAGAGCCTGGGGTGGGTGGTTTTTTGTGCTTGAGAAGCTGGTTGCTATGTACACTTTCTCCTGCTTGCAGGTTCTACCCTCTGACTAACTTGGGTGGGCTGGGCCAGCATGCTCCTGTGGAACTTTCCCTGCTGAAAATGTGAGTGCTGGGGAGTGGCTCAGCTGTTTTCAGATGAGCACACCAGGCTCCAGGTGACTTTCAAGAGGTCATTTCAAATATTGCAATATATTGTGATAACAGACAGCTCTCAGGAGGGTGAATAATGAGTAACCATGCACAGAGTTTCTTTTGGGTGTTTTGTTCTCTGCTGCAGAGCCTCTGTTGTGTTACACTGAAAATGAGACCTGCAGTGCTTGCTGAAAAGCTGCTAGGAAAAACAGCAGAACTCATTGACAGAAACTCCCTAAGCTTCTTTTGATTGTCATGGAAGAGGCTATTAACACTCTGTAAGAAAGGAGATGACAAAGGACTGGAAGATGAGAAACTATGAAAACTTTCCCTTTCTAGGTTAAATGAGCCTTGTTGGAGCTATCATTGCTGGCAGAAGGAAGAAGGATATAGTCAAATTTATTTAATAGCTGTGTTTGTCTTGGGGCACCAGGAAATATGCTGGAGGTTGAGGTGTATGGATCACATACCAAAAATACTTGCTGGGTATTCCCCCTTTGAATCAGAAAAAGCCTTCTTTTAAAAAGAGACATTTTGTTAACTAAAATTTGTATTCTCTTTCATAAGTTATCACTCTGTGAGTTGCTGCATATTTGAATAGGTTATTTCACACTATAAGGAGAAAGTGCCTCTTGAGAAAGGCTAGCAGTGTATTAATTAGAAGGGCTTTTGCTACAGGATATCCCTGGATGTGGGGTCAAGAGCAAATTTATTAACCAAAGCTTTTCATTTGAAAGTCAGCTGCAGCAATCAGAGCTCAGGCCTTGTCTGTGAGAGAACTTCCACCTTCTTAAACTGTACTTACATCCCAGGGCAGCTGCGTTTAGCAGGACTGTAGCCCAAATACCTGACTGGTGGCATAAATCTGCCTTGCTCCCCAAGCTCTCATCTGACTAGACCTAACACCGCACCTTCCATGCACAGTGCAGCCGTAGGAGAGCTTTGGGGTGATTTTCTAGGGTTTTCTATGTTGATTTTTTAATATAAAAAAACCCCTATAATAAATCAGCTGTCACCCTGCACGCTTGGAGCAACGAGTCCTACTCCAAGCTGCAGTAACTCTAAAAAGGAGCCCGCAGAACCCGTCAGGACCTTGGCGAGAAGAAACGCGTCTCCACCGGCTTCATTCGACACCTGAGATTATAAAAATCCCTGCAATGTTTGGAAGACGTGGAGAGCAGATTGCTTGTTTCGCAGACAGCTCTTCATCCTGCTGGCCACACGATGGCACAAGAAGCAAAGAACAGGGCAAAAATCAATGTTTAAAGAGAAGGTGAGGGTCAGCTGAGCCCCAGGGCGGAGGGGAGCCCGGGTACCTGCCAGGACCCAGCTCCCAGAAGCTCCATCGCCCTGAGCAGGCAACACAGGGACAGAAAAGCTGTTTGTGAGAGGATTTAGTGGGTTTAACCCAGCCGTGGGGGCTCAGGGCGATCCCTGGGCTTTGTGCCCTGCCCGCAGGCTGAGCGCTCTGCTGCAGCGCGCAGCTCATTTTGGGCTGATTTTGTGCTCATTTTGGTGCTGATTTTGTGCTGATTTGGTGCTGATTTTGGGCTGATTTTGGTGCTGATTTTGTGCTCATTTTGGGCTGATTTTGTGCTGATTTTGTGCTCATTTTGGGCTCATTTTGTGCTGATTTTGTGCTGATTTTGTGCTGATTTTGTGCTCATTTTGTGCTGATTTTGGTGCTGATTTTGTGCTGATTTTGTGCTGATTTTGTGCTGATTTTGTGCTGATTTTGTGCTGATTTTGGTGCTGATTTTGTGCTGATTTTGTGCTGATTTTGTGCTGATTTTGTGCTGATTTTGTGCTGATTTTGTGCTGATTTTGTGCTGATTTGGTGCTGATTTTGTGCTGATTTGGTGCTGATTTTGTGCTGATTTTGCTGATTCCAGCGGCGATGGACCCAGCCAAGCTGTGTGCTGTGAAGTGCTCCCTGGGAGAGGGACCTGTCCCCTGTGTCCCCTTCCCTGGGCTGGCTCTGGGACAGTCCCTGCAGGAGCCCCCGGCACAGCTCCGCCTGCTCGCGGCTCCAGGAGCGCACTGAAAACACATTTATTTCCCTTGGGGAGAGCCCTGAAATGATACAATTGCTACCCAATGGCAGTGGAACCGTGCCGGCTGTCCCAGGCCATGGAACAGGGCTGCTTGGCTTCCCTGTGCTGGGCTGCTTTCTGTGCGCTTTGCTGTCCCGGGGCCACTGTGTCAGCAGCTACAGGGGGTGGCAGCTGCCTCGATTTCCCCGGTGAAACCTGCCTTGGGCTCCTCGGGGGGAAGCAAGGACACTGCTTAGCTCCATCCATGTGCTTCACAGCAGGATACAGCAGCTCCTGCCCTGCCTGGGCTTGGGAGACCAGAGCTCACCTGGAGCTCTTCCCAGCTCTGCTTGGACTTGTTTCATCCAGGAGCTGCCTGGAAAAGGGTGGCTGTCCCCGTGGGCAGTGCATGAAAGCTAAATATCTGATGTTTAATGCTGTACCACAATCCAAGTCCTGCGTTTTGCTTCTAATCCCAGAAAACTTAAAAAAAAAAAATAAAATTCAAACATTTCAAACGAAACTGAGTAGGGGCTGCAACCTGTATGGCACAGGAGTTGTAAGGACACGTGCAGCTGCACGGATTCTCTCCCTGCTGCTGAGACAAACTCCCCGTGGCAATTAATTCAGGTGAAAGGTGAGGAGCAACTGTACCTATAGCAATATACTGAGGAGAATCGAGCTATTTTTCTGTGGGCCAGGTAGATTGCCAGATTGCCTTTGGAAACATGCAGGTGCTTAACTCCAAAGGCTGGGGGTTCTCTGGGCATGGCTGGTCGGTTCTGCACCTACCACAGAGCCCTGCAACAGGAAAAG